TTTTTTTTACAGTGAAGAACCTTTATTCTTAAAGCTAATTCTTCCCTTTGAGTAGCAAAGGACTTACTTCTTACAGTTCATGAGCAACCTAATCACTTTAAGTGACAGTCCTTGGGAGATGTCTAAATGTTTACAAACCTTAAGTAAGCAACATGTATTGAACATCATTTGGTACTACAATCAGGACCTGTGTTGGGGTGTTTGGATGTAGGGTGGTTTACATGTGACCACATGTGATGTGAATAGACCCTATTCTGCTGCTTCTTTTGAATCTATGTGTTAGTTTTCTTGTTCACAGCAATCTCTCTCCTGGTTTCTAATCAGCTGTTTCCAGTCTGTCATAGGGCTGGAGTGTAGACGGCCAACAATGTTCAAAACAGGGCAAAATAAATGTAGCTGCTGCTGGAGACCCAAAGGGCCTGTCCTGTTTAAACACATGAGATTCAAAGCAAAAGCCCTGGGGCTCCCAAGACCTTGGTCAGGTATGCTGTCCTCTGGGATGGTGAAAAGCTGTGCTGTGGAAGGAGTTAGTGCAGGGATCTCTGCGGAGTTGGATTCTTTGACCACCCATGTCACCTGCACTAGCTCCTTCCTTGAGGGATTAGCACAAGGGGTAGAAAGAGTGTGGACTACATGGGACATGGTGTCTAAATCAAGCACTATCTCTAGCCACTCAGCAGGCCACTCCCACTCAGAGCCTCAGTTTCCTCAGGTGTATAATAAAAGAATTAGGCTAGACAAGGTCCTTACAACGTCCTTTTAACTCCAGTGTGCTCTCAGCTGACAAAGCCAGTTTGGTAAACTGAGCCACTTGCTGGCCATTTGATCTCCTTCTCCCTAGATTTTTCTGGAGAGATTAGCTCCCATATGGAGAGAGCGAGACCACAGCTCTAAGAGACCCTCCCTAAGCTTCAAGCCCACCTGTCCAGGGCAGCCTGAGTCTCCACTTAGATGCCACCAACACCTCCAACTCATTGTTCTTGGACCCAAGGCACCAATCTCCCCTGCCAGCCTGTTTTCTGGATTCCCTCCTTGTTTGTGGTCACCCATTCATTCATTCACAAACTGATTCTTGAGTGCTTGTGGTCTTCCTGACAGAATACTGGTGCATGTGGAACCCTGCCTGAGCTCCAGGTATGGGAAGCAGAGGGATCTGGGCCACTCCAGGGAAAAATGGGGAGAACTACAAGGGAGGAGGCAGAGGGAAGCACAGAAGAGGAGCTTCTATCCTAGCTTGGTTTCTGGAGTAGAGTCAGAATGGCTAACAGGGAGTTGGCTAGAGAAGTGGGAGTAGAAGGAGGGCTCCAGGCAGATTGAGCAGGACATCCAGAGGGTTCTGAGCAGCATGGCCTCAGGGGACCTGTAGGCAGTGCTGGTAACTGAATTTCCATTTGCTGGGGAAGGGCACAGGAAGCTAGACAGATCATGGAGGTCCTGCTGGCCATACTAAAGGGGTGGTCTTCCCTGTAACACAAAGTTGCCAGATGATTTCAAGCCAAGGATGAGTACGGCCAGATTTGTTTTTGTCAGACAATTCTGGCAGTTGTGTGAATAGTGGACGGTAGGGAGAGTGAAGGAGGGAGGCCAGGCAGGAGCTGTGGAGAAAGCAAGGGAGGCAAGCTGAGGCCTGGATCAAGTGAGTGGCAGAGGGGATGAAACAAAAGGGCAAATGGGTTTGAGCTTTGGGAATAGGACTGGGAGGAGCCTAGGTCCCAGTGCTGCCCAGTGAGATGAGAAAACTAGAGGAGAATGGGGCTTGGAATGAGGGTTAAGACCACCCCGTTAATGCTACCCTACCTCCCTGGGAAATCAGTGCTGCCTTTGGATCCTTTCTTCACCTCTTCTCCTCCCTTCTCTACCTTCTTTAGTTTCAAACTGTTATGATGGCCTGACTTCAGAACCATACTCAGGTCTAGGGTTGGCCGAGGGTGATCTGGGGATCTGGGCCTGGACTTTCTGCAAAGCTCGGACGGTCCTATGTCAGATTGAATTAGGGAAAACCTGAGCTTCTCTAGCCCCAAGAATCTTGACCAAGAGTGATATGGGCTGCACCCCTGGGTTATCCATGCCCGGTCTGAGCTCCTCTTGCCAGTTCATGGTCCCCTGCACCATGTCCAGCTTCCTGTATAACCATCTTTCTGCCTTCCCTATTGTGGTTCCAGAGTGGAAGCCTAGCCTATTAGATAGGCTCACTGGGCCTGGACCTCTCCATGCCAAACCAGTACCAGCCTGGCTCCTGAGCAGACAATGGCAGCAACCTGAATTCTGTGCTTCTGCCCTGCCTGTGTCCAGAACTAGGACTGATGTAGGTGTACACTGTCCCTAAGTGCTGTTTCTGGACCATCTCTCCAAGGCCTTCTCTGCAGCCTCCTGCACCTCTGCAGCCTTCCTTGAGGCTGGCGAGTATCTCACTTGTGAGTACCATCCATGGGATGTGTCCTTATGGGGGAACCTGGTTCTCCCATCCCCACCTCAGACAACCTTGGTACATCATGTGAGTACTTGTTAATGCATCCCACCATAGGTCCACTGTTAGATGGGCTCCTACTCCTGGGTCTGGACTTCCCAAAGCCAGAGAAGTGACAGCCTGGCTTCAATTCCATGACTTAAAGCTTTCTTCAAACCTTCCATAAAAACTCCTCGATTCAAATGCAACAATGAGTATGTTGCAACATTGAGTACTGACCTTTCGTAAGGAGAGAGTTTTTTGTTTTAGATGTTCTCCACAATCTTTACAACTTGAAAAGGAGGTAGAATGGAACCCTTTTATAAAGGAGACAACCAAAGCTCAGAGATGTTAAGTGACTTGCACTCTACTTTTTGCAGCAAGTAGTAGTTAGGGCAGGAGCACACTACCCACATCCTTTCCATGGTACTTCAGCAGTGTGTAGAGCCACACACATGCTTGCTTACCTGCCACCCTGAAGGTGCTTGTGCAGCAGTCGTCTGGCCTGCTTTCTGCAAAGCTGAGGAGGCCCTATATCAGATTGAACTAGGGAACACCTGAGCTTCTCTAGCCCCAAGAGTCCTGACCACGAATGATATGGGCCCCACTCTTGGGTTAGCCATGCCCAGTCTGAGCTCCTCTTGCCGGTTCATGGTCCCCTGTACCATGGTCCACCTTCTTGTATAACCATCTTTCTGCCTGATAGTTCATCTGGTCGTTTGGCATTTGTCAAACACTAGCTATGGGCATGGCCTGTGTCTCCCAGGGATGAGTAAGTCAGGGGTGAGGTTTCTATCATGTAGGGAAAGAGGGAAAGAGGGAAAAATGCTTAATCCTGAAGGGAGGTGAAGACTGGGGTGGGTAGGCACTGGGGCCAGGCCCTACAGAGCCCTAAATGCTGTGTGAAGATGCACATAGCAGGCCTGGGGAGCTGCTGAGAATTTCTGAGAAGTCAATAGTTCCTCTACTGATGGTGTCCTCTTCCTATTGCATTGTCCCAATTTTAATGGTTCTTTAAGGCCCAGCTCAGGTCTTCCTCTTCTGGGAACCCCTCCTGGGTTACTCAACCGAAAGTTTCCTACTTCTTGGCTCTTGGCGCATTGATTAAACTGGCCAGCTTCACATCATTCTTCAGTTCTTTTATGAATTCAGAACAGAATCCTGCTTTTGAGTCCAGTCACACTTGCATGGCTTTGGGGAAGGTCCAGTAACTTATTCCAAGTCAAACTGCTGTTAGGGGTAGAGTTGGGTTAGGATTCCCATCCCTGCCTATCCTGCTAGTGCTCATCTCATGGCCCAGGCTGCCACTCAGCCTTTCTTACATTCTGTCCAGCACTTAAGGGCTTGGCATTCAGTGGACTGTCAATGGAAGTAGCTAGTATTTGCTTTTATTTCTGGCCAGCTCATGTCACCTGTCCTGAGCCACTCCTTTCCCACCTCAGCTGAGGTAGATACTTCCTCTTGGGTGGCATAGGAATGTCTTACTCTGAAGCCCTTGACCCTTCCACTATCCACCTGCCAGAAGTGGATGTCAAACCCAAGTTTGTCTTGGTGTCCTTCAGGTTCATGGCTATTTTTGGTTCCTGGAAACAATCACAAGAACTTCCCTTTAGTCAGTCTATTAGGTGTATACCACAGGGAGGCTCTGGGCATACCAGAGGGCCCCTCATCTGAAGGTTGTATCCCTGGTATCCCAGAGATGTTCCTTATGTCACTGCTTCCTTGTATCAAAATGTGAGAAAATCGCAGGGACACACTAGTCTCCTCCTGACCACTAAAGGTTACTGTCCCCTCCACATACATATACTAATGGATTCTGTCATTTGTAACTTGATATGTGACTTTATCTCCTACACAATCCCAGGAAGGGCAGAGGAGGGCCCCCCACTGGGTGGGTAAAATGCAGACAAGTGGACTCCATCACTACATTTAAAGCACTCCTCTGGCTAATTTGTGCTGGGAAAAATCTATGGAAAACAGGCTGGGTCAGCCCCCAATCCTTT